TACATTGGTACATATTAGAAAATATTAATGTTATGAAATTCAGTGGAATCGCATTGGCAATGGTGGAATTTCGATTTCATAATTGCCAACAAGCTGTCAATTTCCATTGTGGTGACATTTTACTCCTGCTTGAAATATAACGGCAACCATTCTCATTGATTTTCCCACACTTGTGATTGCGTTTGACATAAATGCTTCAATTGGTACATATTTTTTGTAAAAACCAGTGTATAAAGTCTTATCCTTTTAAATTCAAAATGTTGCAGTAATTCGTCCTGTCCTGTGATGAAACTATCTCTATGTTTACAAAAGTGGGAAAAGTTACTTCAATATTTTTTCGTTTAAATTAATAGTTGATTACTTCTGACATTCTTTATAATACCAATGCAGAACCGATCCTCTTACTGGAATGTATATTTCAGTAACTGAACGATCTTCACTCTATACGTATTTAAAAATAATTTCCAACCGGGTCCTTATATATTTAAAACAAGAAAAAACGTTAACTTAAATTTAATAATACCCTTCACAGGTACAAAAGTTCCTTACAATAACTTGATTCACATCTAATTTCGTGAATCGAATACTCCGATCGTTCAGTTTATATGATAGCTGTATGACATAGCGATCCGATCAAAACAATTTTTTCGGAGATTATATTCTTGCCTTAGAAAATAACTCATGCCAAATTTCGGAAAGATACCTCGTCAAATGAAAGAGTTTGCCATACAAGGACTTGCTTCCGAATGTTCAGTTTGTATCGCAGCTATATGCTATAGTGGTCCGATATCGGCCGTTCCGACAAATGAGCAGCTTCTTGGTGAGAAAAGGGCAGGTGCAGAATTTCAGATCGATAGCTTAAAACCTGAGGGACTAGTTTGCATATATACAGACGGACGGACGGACGGACAGACGGACATGGCTAAATTGACTCAGCTCATCATGCTGATCATTTATATATATATTTTATAGGATCTCCGACGTTTACTTCTGGGTGTTACAAACTTCGTGGCGAACTTAATATACCCTGTTCAGGGTATAAAAAAATCCAACAAAACTTGAGGTATTGCCGTTGTGGGCAACCCATTACCATTTAAGCCGAGCCCATCTCTGGAATTCCACTAATTACTCATGACGAGACTGGCTTAAAAAGATGTTTGTTTGTTTTAGGTTTTAGAACGCTATAATTGCTCCAGTTCGTCATAAGAACGCCTCTTCCAACTCGGTCTCAATGCAACAACAATTTATTCGGTCATCGCGTCATTCCTCCGCTGATTCGTAAGCGCGGTGAACACGTGCTTCGCATTACACTTCATGTGAAGATTTATTAAGTATCGGCAAAATATCATTTAAAAACTGTTGAGTGCTTTAATTTATGCTCGTCTCTGGTGAGCGCGATGGTGAGTGAAGGCGGGCATTTGGCATTGCATGACTCAGCGTATAGATTTATCAATGAGACTAGCATCTTATAAATATACTCTATGAATGAATAGCTACAGCAATGGAGATTTATGTGGTTCTTTAAATGTTTTATTGGAGTAGATTGGGAATCAGTTTCCGCGTGAGCTTTAAGCAAGTTAATTTTTATTGTTTTACAATTGGATTATTTAAATTTATTATTGTCGTTAGTGTAATGATAGTTTGTAACATTATTAATTTTTGGGTAATACATTATATAATACATACAATTCTTATATAAATCATTATATTATATAATGTATGGTAATTTGTAGGTCTAGAATAGGAGACTTGCCTCAATCCGCATATTCAGTATTTATGGAGATGATGAGAAATACAGTCACAGAGTTTGGGTGAGAAGCAATTTCGTAAAATGACAAAGCTTTCCATACAATCACTTGATTCTGATCGTTCAGACGAACATGGCTAAATCGACCCAACTCGTCACGCTGATAAATTATAAATATAATCTGTAGGGTCTCTGGCGTTTCCTTTTGGGCGTTAAAAACTTCATGGTAAACCCAATATTTCCTGTTCAGGGTATAAAAACAGGACATCTATAGCAAAGCCATGCAGATTTATGTCCCAGTTATAGGTTTCAGGATTATGCAATGATGTGTTATGTGGCTACCATATTTTAATGATGTCGTTAGGTGCAATAAGAGCAAATAACTATAAACGTACTAAATTGTTACTCAAAGGAGTCAATTTTCTAGCTCAATCTACAGTATGTGCTTTCCTAATCTTGTTTTTTTATTGATAGAAATTGAACCGGCATTATGTACTTTGTTTGTTTGAAATTGCGAGGTCCTGAATACCCATTTTGAGTTCAAAACTTTTAGTTTGTGATTACTATCAAATTCACATCAGATAAGACGAAACTAGAACGTAGAAAAGCCCGTTCGGTAAGATCGTTTACTTTTGTTTCGAGACAAGTCACTTTTTACTATAACTGATGACTAACCAAATTATGTTTCAAACCAAACACGTAACGAAAAGAACCCCAATGAGCATCCGATCCAACCGGAAGAAAATGAATAATTTAAATATGGTCAATAATTTACAAACAACAGTTCTAAGAAATCTACGAGCCGATTATAAAATATGCTATAAATAATATTTCAATAACAAGCGGAAGAAAGGTTTGTTTTTATTATTAAAAGTTCTGGTGAAATTGCACACTTTTCTTGCGTGCCGACCAAACCAAAAATATTGCTCATTACACACTTCTTTAATATTAGCGAAAATAGAGAAAAATAAAATATAAATTTTCAAAACAAAGTGCTCGCAAAAGTACTCACATTCGAATAAATGAAATTAATGGTTGTATTGGTGAAACTCATTTTCAATGTGAAGGTCATTTACAATAAGAAAACTTTTCTAAGACGAAAAGAACTGAAATTTTGAAATTAGTTAATATCTCATATCGTTTCGTAAGCACTCTCTACAAAAAATGCAAAAAAATTCGCTAAAGTGGCAGTTGTAAAATTTTGGGAATTTTTCTGAAAGAAATAAATTGCCAATGTTGTTCCACAAATTTATAAATTAGTTAAAAATATATAATTGATAATCCACATAAATATATATTTTAACAGACCTTAAAAGCGGCGACCTGAATTTTTATAATTTTATAAGTCGTACAGTCATAATACAGTCGTAAAACAATTAAAAAATGTTATAATCGTCAATCCAGTCTTATTTTGTTTTTTTGGTTTATTTACAATTGCGTAAGGATGACCAAGTTTCGCCTCACATTATGGATGTGTGCCTAGATGTTCTTCAATAATTGGTGAGACCTTCAAATTTTCGGACGAATAATATTTAATTTGATGAGTGATTTTGTTATATAAATACATTCGTACATTTCTTTTTACCTGCCGAAGAGTAACCACTATTACAGACACCATTTTTCTTGATGTTAGTTCTGTTTCACTCGAAGTAAAAAAATAGTATTTGATTTCAAGTGGTATGAATTTTCGACTGTGCCCAGAAAGGTTTACAATGCTTTACGGGGGGTAGTTTATAACATTAATATATTTTTTTTATTCGAGTAACGCAGTTGAAACAATAGTTTTTCGTCTTCAAGAGCTTTAAAAAAAAATCTTGTCATGAACTTCACCATGGCGGTGTACGTCTGCCTCTTTCTTTATATAAATTCGGTCGAAGAAATCCATTCGTTGGATAAGTACTGAGAAGAAGTGATTCAAACCTTAAACCCTAAAGGGTTTGCAATAATTTTGGGCAATCGTAGACCCCATTCCGTTTTGATATAATGCCTCTATTAAGCTTTCTCATATTCTTCTTTAATTTTTTGATTTCCTCGTTACTTTAACTGGTACCTATACTATACCTATAACTGATTTCAGTAAGTTCTAGCTCTTCGGAGTCTATTATGCAGAGTATTCACATCTGTGAAGTACTTTATTCTAATTTTAAGCAAAAAGTAATTCTATAATCCGAATTAAAACGAGTTGTGCGTTCTATTGACAAATATTCCTTAATTTACGGATGCAGGTTAGAGTAAAATTTTTGTTCATAAACATTTTAATCCGCCCTCGTACATAAAGCCACTGGGCGCAAACGTGAAATGTGTGGAAAAGTGGCTAATTTGGATTTTACGAAAAAATCTATTACATATTCGTGGTAATTTGATGAAACAGATGAAAAAGCAGCCGCGCCATTCACCGTCAGTGGCAATATGATGCGTTGATATTCGCTGCGCGTCTATTTGGACCATTTGCATTGCTGGCTGCAAGCCAGAAAATGAATCTACATTAAGTTAATCAATTAATTTTTATACCCTGAACAGGAAATATTAAGTTTGCACAGAGTTTGTAGCACGAAGAAGGAAATGTCGGAGATAGTATAAAATATATATTATATAAATGATTAGCTTGATGAGCTGAGACAGATTGTCCGTCTGTCTGTACATACGTAAACTAGACCCCAAATTTTTGAGATTACGATCTGATCTGAAGAAGCTGCTCATTTTTCGGAGCCGCAGACATCAGACCACTAAAGCATATAGCTTCCATATAAACTGATCGATCAAAATCAAGACCTTGTGTGGAAAACTTTTTTATTTGACAAGATATCTTCATGAAATTCGGTATACATCACTATAATCTACGAATAAATTGTTTACACCAGAAAATTATAGCATAAAGCTGTCATACAAACTGACTGATCAAAATCAAGGTAAAGATCTTTTTCTACCTATTTATCCTATAAAAAATGCACCTGTGAAGAGCTTACGCTTCGACACAACCGTACATTTTTTCTTGTTTTTAAGAAGAAGAAGAAAAGAATAATATTTGTAATAAAGCCACACAATTATTTTATTTTTTGATTTTGTATTTTGTTTTTATAATTTTTATTTTGTATTTTATATAATATACTTGTATATACTAGAAAAAATTTTTTGTAATCGAAAACATACAATAAATACATTTTGGTATTTCCTGAAATATAAATTTTGTGGTTTACTTTTAATAATGCAATAAATATAGTGAATTTTTTCCCTCTTCGCTTTTTGCTTACAGTTCAGTTGGACCAAGTTCCCGTGTGTTTTGAAGGCAGGTCATTGCCACGGTGGTGTGGCCACCGCACGTCTGGAGAATCAGAGCGCTCTCCAAGATGCAGCCGGCCTTGTCACCGGCTCGGGCAACGATGCGCATTGTTATTGCACCATTGAGCCGTACATTGATTCTAAGTTCGATGTGCACATTCAGAAGATCGGAAATAATTACAAGGCCTTCATGTAAGTATTACAAGCATAAATGTGTGTGTGTATGTGATTATGTTCATACGTAAATGCGTGGCGCAGACAATGCGAGCAGCTCTCAGACAGGCGAAGGTTCGGAGATCGCTATGAAAGTAATATATGTATCTTTACATATGTACATATATATACATATATATGTATATTCATTACTTCGTGCCGCCGCGTAATTAATGCAAAGCATCGATTACTTGCTTTCCTTTTATTTTGCTTTTGACGAAATGAGAAATATTCAATCAAAATATGTATCTAGCCATACTCGCCTGTATGCATGTATGTATGTATATAAGAGTGCAAGCGTATTATGCCATTAACGAATCACGAATGCATTGCATCAACACTGTCAATGGCCACCGCTAAAGACATGGATTAAGTTGTCCGCTGACTCGCTGACCTTGATTTTAGTCTGTGTGCCACTCATCAGCGGCTGGCTAAGTGGTTGAGCGGTCGGAAATCAACTGCCGCTTGCTGGCGTTGCAATGCAATTGTGTAAAGTAATTGAAATGCGCACCATCAGACAGTTCGTGGGTATGTGTAAGTGTTTGTACTGAGTGTGGCCGGCGGCGGCTGGTGTTGTTGGCCCTCAAGGTACGGTGGCAAATATTTATGACATTTAAGTTTATCAAAATAAATACAAAATTAAAAATACAGAAATATAATAGCGGTTCACTTTTTGTGCTTTATTATGTCCTAGGTTGGCAAAATATATACATTTTTATAAAGTAATGCGTTCTTGAAGTAGAGGGGAAATAAAGAAGCCGCGTTCTTTCCATAAAATTGTGGCTACTTAAGATATAGATTATCCCGAATTTTTTAATTTTATCATTTTTTTTTTTTATTATTTCTTCGTACGACATAGAAATATTTAAAGATTATTTGTATCAAATTTCAAGTGGATCGATTAACAAAAACTTCACGCTCAAACCGGTGTAGTTGCGACCACATTAACTTGGAAATAATTCGAATTTTAGAAAGATACACAGATATGAAAACAAAACTTTAAATTTTTTTGAAATTATTTTGGATTAGGGAGAAAACTAATGTTAATCTTTTATCGACAACAACGAGGCAGTGTAAATTTCATGAAAAAAAAATGTAGCGTAGCGCTTCTTTCTTCAAAATATGGAAGAGTATGGCCATTATACTTGGTTCTGACTATTTTATGATGATGTTTTAGATGTTAGCGGACGATTAATCTAACTAAGTTTATATCTTTTCACCTCTACAATACAACCTTAAAAAATTAAGTGGGGTTAAAATAGTCTGATAAAAATTGAGTAAGCATTATGTAATAATTTTTGGCAATAGTTACATTTTCAAAATTATAATTTACCTAGCAATGGCAAGGTAAAATACCTAATTCACTTGTAAGTTAGCTTGAAGCGTCTACTCCTCTATAAAATTTATACTTGGAAACCGAAATACTTCCAAAAATTTGGAGTCTTTCAAGTAGGAAAGATTAATTTTATCATATACATACGTATAGACCTCTAGCAGCCTCATGCTTCTCACTCAATTATTCTGTTCGTCCATAAAGGTTGCCTATATAGTAAATACTTCTTCCATGAGTCGCAAGCACTTGTTAATTTGATTAAAAAATCAAAGAGACATGAAAGTTTAGCAACTGCTTTGTGCTTTTAGATCTCACTACATGTCTGACAATTCTGAACAGCGGAACAGACGAAAATACAAGAGATAGATCACAATTGTTTGGAACCACATAACAGTGATTGCGAATAGTTTCGCGATCGGATTGGTATCTGGCATATGTATTCTTCAGTATGGAATTTCTTAAAACCATTGTAAAACTATTCGAAGTTTTCGCTGAACATCGAGCTTTCTGTCTAACACATCTATAGTTTATTTTCGGCTACTGCGCAAAATTGAAAAGTTACGGGCAGGAAAACTGAGATACTTTTTTATATTTTCGATCGGAACCAGTTTGTGTAAAGAAGATAAATAATAAAATCTTTTGAAATAGAAAGTAGCTCATCAATTAAAGTATTTTTCTAAAGTCGAGGTATAGTTCACAGATCAAAATATGAACATAATAAAACCCCTTATAAAATGAGTGAGTTGGTACTCAGTCAGTGCGGAGATGTAATGAATAAAGGAGCACCTGGTACTCTGGTTTTGGATTAATAGGAGACCAAAAAAAAAAAATTTAAGTAAAAGTGAATTTTGTATTAATAGTGTCTTAATAGAGCATTTTCCTCTGAGGTCTTGCCTTTAAGTTAGAATCGACAGAATGTGGAGAGTGAAATTAGAGCATTTCCTCTAAAGAGGACCCAACTTTGAGTAGATTGAGACGGTGTATTTTTCATGATGTCCAATGTCTGTTGCCCAATGTCCTAACCTTAAAGAAAAGGCTGTTAAGGTAAAAGGAACCAAAACCTTTGATACATCCAACGCGTTGTCGAAGATAGGAGATTAACTTTGCTGTGGTGCCGAGTGAGTTTAAGATCTTTTTTGACATTTTTTATATCAACTAACTAACCAACCAATTATGTTCGTTCGTATATTGAGCTAATGACAATTGGATAAGCGTAGAATATTGATATATTAGCCTTAAAGACTCCCTAAATCAATCCGTCCATCATCGACAGATGAACTATCAAACTTTCAGGATCTTACATACGTCGTAAGTATATAGAAAAAGATAAATACAATCAAACATTTATAGCTCTATTAAACTAATTATAGTTTCCTTTCTTATGTTCGTCAGCCTCATTCCCGATGCATCTTTTTCTGCATGTTGATAATATATTTCTAGCAAGAGTTCTCTTGCTTATTTTGATTGCGATTTCACCTTACCTAAATCACTGTCCACGAGACGTTACAGCAGCGCAGGTACACGTTAGCAATGCGTCCGTCGCATCAGTTACAAATAAATTATCAGCAGCAAGTAGTATTGCATTTGTATTGATGCAGCACTCTGGGATTTTGTGTAGTAAATATGAGTGCGTTGAAAGAATGGAAGTTCATTACGCGAGGGCGCGCACGCAATACTTGAGAAATTACTTTACCATAAAGGTTCCTAAAAAAGCGCGCAAACGTGCAGGTCGTTACTGTTGTTGCACTCGGCATTTATAGCATTTAGTGCGCATTGATATGCCACCACAATAGTTAACAACAACACAAGTTCACAACAACTACAGTGGCGGTATGAGCGCAATGAAAACAAAAGCCGCTTATGAAATTACGGCAGTCAAAGACCTCTTTTGCTGCCAATCAAATGCCGCCACTGGAGCCGACCGCTGCAACGGTACACCCGACTGGTACAATAACTCGATAGTCGCGTAATTTAATAATAATACCATTTAAGCATTTAAGTCAGCAGAAAGTGCCGCTTATTATTTCGTGATTTATGCTTCAATTTTGTTAAATTATTGTTTTTTGCTTTTGTTGTTAATCGTATTTCGGTATATTCCCCTCACCAACGCCTCTCTCTCTCTTTATTGCAGGCGCAAATCGATCTCAGGCCATTGGAAAACTAATCAAGGTTCAGCGATGCTCGAGCAAATCACACTAACCGAGAAGTACAAGTCCTGGGTGGATGAGGTGAGTAGCATAAGCCGCAAAAGACACACACAAATAAAATAGATTGTGAAGCAAAAAATGCCGTAAAAACGGAAAAAGTGAGACACTACCCAGACACGGTCGGGAGTGGATGAATGGCAGCCGCCAACGAATAGCTTTTGTGTCGCTATCAGCTCATCGAATTGCAATTTACAAATTGTTTGCATTAATCAAATCCGGTTTCTTGTCGGCTTCACGAGCTCTCTCGCATAACTCGAGTGCACTCACTCAAGCGTTGTTGCGCGAATCAAAGTTCGTTTAGTCGAAGCCGCTTAGTCAATGACCATAAATTTGCTGCAATTTACATTTTTGACTGGTGTACCTGGCGCACTAATAGTTCCATTGATTTATTTGACAAACAGTGCCGCGTATATTCAAATACATATTTACAAATATTGCTATGCGAATGTGAACGTTAGCAGCTTAGCGGCTGTGAATATGAGACTCAAATCTAATATGTTATTTTTCAAATTATATCAAAACTGACTATAATAGTTCAGTTCTGCAAGGATAAGCTATATACTCTCAAGCAAAGCTTTACAGGAAAGTTTGTGAAATGCATATTTTTCAAAATACCTTTAATATGTAACATATTACAAATTTAAATGCTGTCGGGCGAGTACGCAACTGCCCCTTCGTAGGTTAAAAGTTCGGATTTCAACCTCTAAAGACATATTACCTGCTGTCCCCGTTACATAAATTTTTTGTTTTTGGTACGAAATATATTTTATTATTCAACATTAATCCCTATAAAGATTTTCCGGAAGCGCTGCAAAATACCCGTCTACGGCTGTAATAGCTTCTTCATTCGACGAAAAACGCTTTCAACGAAGGAATTGTTTCTGGTTCCTGAAAAGGTAGTAGTCGCTGGTAGCCAGTAGCTGATGATTGAGGTGGGTGCTCCAGCAATTCGTACTTTAATTCGTTGAATTTTGTCATTGTTAAAACACCTTTGTGAGCAGGTGCATTGTTATGACGAAATATGATTTTTTGTGCTGCAAACCAGGTCTCTTCTTACGAAATTTTTCATCCAGCTGATCCAAAAGGGTGCAATAACATTCCGAGTTGATTGTTTTACCTTTCTGCAGATAATCCAGCAATAAATTTCCTTTTGCATCCAAAAAAACTGATGCCACAACCTTCTTTGCTGATCGTTGTGACTTCACCTGCTTTGGAGCTGAACAACCACCTTCAGTCCACTGTAAACGTTCTTGTTTCAATTTAGGATCAGCGTGGTAGATCCAAGTCTCATTCATAGTTGTAAAACGATGCATGAAATCGTTTTAATTCTGCTTAAAACGCTCTAAGAAATTTGTTTTCGATCTAGTTTTTGTTGAATTTTTAACGTGTGCGGCACTAACTTTCCAAAGAGCTTTTTCATATGTTATTCTCCATGTAAAATATGAAGTACTCGTTCGTCTGAGATGCCTATGGCATTGGCAATTTCATGCTTAGTCAAACTTAAATCTTCACTAACAATATTATGACTTGCTCAACGATTTCTGACCACATTTAAATTTCCCAGCCCAAAATTCAACGGTGCGATTTAAAGGTGAGGACTTCTTATACACTTCTAACAATGATTCATAAATTGCAACTTTGCATGTATTCTCACGACAGATGTACCAACTTGGGAAAATAAAAATTTGGAGCTAGTAGTGTTATTTCTTGTTGAGAGAGTAGAAACTTTTCAACCAACCGGTAGTCTATATTTCACCTCTAACGTATTGTGGTAGAACGATCCAACCCCTTATTCGTATAAAAACTAAGTAAGCTGTTGAAGTGGTAAAAGGTTTCCGTTATATTAAGCATTGATAATATAAGTCCACAAATCTTTTACACATTTATTACGTCGACGATTTGATTTAACGTCACTTGTTTTGGTTTGTATTGGATATCAATAAGCACATGGTTTCAGTTTTATAGAAGCTCTAAATAGTAGAGAAAAGTATGTTCTTCTTAAGTTTCTATTTCAAACTACGAGCTCATTTGTTTGAGGCAGGTTTGCTTTTAAATTGGATTTTTTGAAAATTTCAAAGGCCACTAACATATCAATATCAATATTACGTTTTCAGCGCGGAGAATCGCTCGTGAGATAGACTGGTTCTCACAAGAATGAGTTTTGTTTTGGATATGAAATGTAATACATGGAACCCTATCCAGTATATGCACTGGATGCAAGATATTCTCTTTCACTGAAACTGATTTTCATCTGGTACACTGCTACTTACTTTATAACCGTGCGAACCATTTACTTGGTGAAAATATACATTCGGTAATGTTTGGGTATATTCAGTTTACCACGAAGTTTGTAACACTCAAAAGAACATACCTGTGACACTATAAAGTATAAAAATATATAAAATATCAGTGTGACGAGCTGAGTCGTCACGTTCGTCTGTATGTGCGCGTACTTGTTCATCAGAAACTTTGTCCAACAGAAACTTTGTACACGTTCTTTTCTCTCCAAGAAGCTGCTTCCTTGTCAGAACCACCGATATCGGACCACTATATATTATAGCTGCCATATAAACTGAACGATCAAAATCCAACTCTTGTAGATTTTTTTTATATGATAAGATATCTACATGAAATTTGGCTTGCTTCATAGTCAACGGTACAAACTCCAAACAAATTGTTGAGAAAGGACAACGGAAGCATACGTTATAGCTATCATACAAACATACAAAATGAAGAATCTTCCTTTCGTTATTCGAATATGAAAATATATAATATATTTAGACATAACATATATTTCAAGAATTGAAAGATTTTGAACTGAATATTAATTTTTAAAAGTGTCGATCGACCACTATAGTTAACAGAGAGCTACTAAGTAGTAAAACAGTTTTCTTAATACTCCAAAGCAATATATTATTTATTCAAAACTTAAGACAACTACTAATATATAAAAATATGTTATTAATTCGAAATAAAACAAGAACAACAGGCGTAAAGCGCCAGCCACTTTATGTCACGAGCCACAGTTTGCCGAAAAAATTTTCAAGTGCCACTTAAGGTTGTCATAACCACTCGCAAATACAGTATATCAAAAGGCACTTGAGCGTGAATGTTCTTAACAAAATTAAAAATAATAAATTTTCAGCAGCAATTTAAATACCTTTAACTCTATTAATTTTAAGGCGTTCGGGCAAAAGAAATCAAAGAAAACCTAAGAATTTGTGACTAACCTCGCTCGTTTACAGTCAAGTGCAACAGTTTCTCATACAAATTTACACATGCCATGTAATTGCTGTCAAAAACAAGACATTTGCACGTAATCTACCCCACTCCCACAGCACTTAACAGCTATGGTTCCACTGCCTTCTATTTAATGGCGGCAAAAGCTGATATTTTGCAATAAAACCATGTAAAAGCGCGTGATTTGGCACTTTGCCTAAAACCATTCCAATCATTAAACAATATGCACTGCGCAAGTACATAGGTTTATAAAATATAAATTTCTGTTTGTATGCATGTTTTATTGATAGGTTAATAAGATTTAAAATATATTGCACTAAATGGTAGTGTCTGTCAAATGACTCATTTCATTACTTGGCATGAACATTTCGCTATGAGGATTGGTTTTTACCTTTGGCATAAAGTGATTTGGCTTGCTTGCGTCATGCAACTAGTATGTTGTGTATTTTGTAATTAATTTACATGTAAAATACATTAAATATGGATGCCGATGTTGTCTTGATTATGCACGAACTACATCGCTGCATATACCTATATGTACACAAGTAAATGCCAGTTTGTATAATATGAAACAAGTATAACTATACCTATGTAAATACCTGCTCAATTATGCATATGTTTGATAACGGCTAAACAATAGTTGAGATCCAGCTGTAAACATTTAAGAGGTTAGTTTAATTAATTTGAACTGTAAGTTCGAAGCTCTAGATACAGTTTTTATTTCCTAAGCCTCCTCTTTGCCAAAGTGCTCTTATTGCTCTGTGTAGAACAGTTGTCTGGTAATATAAATAAATATCCTATTTAGCGCTACGAGTATATACATATAACCGCCCGTCCGTCAATCCTACACGATTTGAGATATATTGCGGATTTTTTTCGGACTTTTTTCAACTCAACTCAACTTTAGTTGAAATATTATATAAGGTTGTGTTGTTACAGAGCGTGCTTCCTCTTACGAAAAAGTTGTTAATTTAAGCAAAACATTTACATAGCATTATTCAAAGTACTGCTTATCTGAAGCTATATTATTTTCCGCTCTTTCTGGCAATTTGTGGACTCCATTTCAAAGGAATTGCACCGGCTTTGCGGCCAAAAATTAATGATGTGAACTGTATTCAACCAGAACAAATGATAGTTAGAAGAGACCCAGCGTGCTTTGGCACTTTGAATAACACAATTCAAGTTGCACTGCATATGTATACTATGCGAGTATATAGGTTTATATAATATAAATGTCTGCATGTATGCATGTTAATAATATTTATAATATATTGCACTAAATGGTAGTGTCTGTCAAATGACTCATTTCATTACCCTGATTTCGCTAATCCTCAGTTTTTACCTTTGAAACAAATGGTAGTCAGAAGGGGCAAGGTGGGGGCTATAAGGCGAGTGAGGCCGCTGTTTTCCAAATCATTTTTAACCGGTCTTGCAATATGAAGCCTAAGGAAAGTTATTGCCTCTGGTCTAGCCGAAAGTTCCGGGCGGTTTTTGGCATTCGCTTGTTGCAATTTGATAAGTTGTTGTCGGTTCCGTCCCCCATTAATCGTTTCACCCGTTTTAGAAGCTCATAATACAGCACTTCTGATTCCACTCCACTTTTCATCACCAATCACAATACATTGCAAGCAGCATTTCTGCCATGAAAATTCATCTTTCAACGTCTCTTGTTCGAATTTCCTTACTTTTGAATGTATTGGACTGCTTTTAAACGATTTAAAATGGCTGTTTGGGCGACTCCCAAAGGTTCTACTAGCCCTTCTTGTGTTTGGCAACAATCTTCCAGTTCCTCATTTTTAAACTTTTATAAATACCCAAGACGATCTATTGAGTCGTTCACTAAGTAATTTTGTTAATTTTTGTCCAAATTAAAAACAATTTTTTTATTGTGTAAACTATTTTATGAAATTAAATAAATTTTATCTTGCAGGAAAACCAGTTTTGGCATTGGTAATCGGTCAACATACCTTTTTCGTACATATCACATAATTTCCGCCTTGCTTGAACTGCACTTTTACGCTTTTGATGGTAAAATAGTAAAATATGCCGAAAATGTTGTTTTCGATCTATGTTTGATCCGGTACAATTTGTGTGACACCCATTTGACAAAGTTCAGCATTTTAACCGTTTTTTAAGTTTTTTTGGAATTTAAAAAAATGAGCGTCCAACGTGTTCAGGATGCTTCACAGTTCTAGCTCAAACCCCCCCGCCTTTAGAACTATTCTTATGACACAAAATTTTCGTGTAGTCCTGTTATATATCATCTCTTGATTGGTTCGATTACTAATACAAGAAACACAAACAATATTAATGCCAACTTCGTATACATCATACACCTTTGGCTAAAGCTACTGAGTCGATACGCTTAAATAAGCTGCCCAACATGGGTGTCTTATTGCGGGCAAATATCAACAACAATTACTGCTTATTTTGAATAATGAATTAGCAAGCGATGGTCCGCTTTATTTGTCAGCTGGAGAGCGGTGGGGTTAGTGTAATGCCAACCACAGGCATTCGATGAAATACTTGCATATATGTACAAGCTACAAATAATCATTCTAAGCACACTGACGATAAATCGTTATGCACTGCGACTTGAGTAAACACAGTATCATTAGTTGTTATTAGAGGGAGACTTTAGGCGAACCGAGCCCGCAATCATGAATTGATTAATGCATAACAGAAGTCGGTCGGATTGCAAATTGCAAACACATGTATACCACAACAACCACATGTTTTTCGACGACATAATGCATTAGCAACTTGTACGACTAAATTTTTAAACATTCGCAGATTTCCGAGCTCTTTGGCGGCATGGAGGTATGCGGCATTTCCGTGGTGGTCGGCAAAGACGGCCGCGAGCACATAATCAGTGCTTGCGATTGCACATTCGCTCTAATTGGCGATAGTCAGGAAGAAGATCGGCGCCAGATCGCCGATTTAGTTTCCGCACGAATGCAAGTTAGTATATTGTGTATTAAATAAATGAAAAGCTGAACTGAAACAATAATACTCATAAATTTCCTTCATTCCAGAATGTCTGCCGCCCAAGCATGACACAAACTGGTGGACCACCACATGGTATACGTCAACCATCACGATCATCCATTTCCTCACGTGGTGAGAGTCCTACCGAGGATATGGCACCGACACCACCGGCACCCGCTGGTCCACGCCCGGCCCCAATGGGCGGTCCACCACCAATACCCGAGCGCACTTCACCAGCAGTCGGCTCAATAGGACGCCTCAGCAGTCGCAGCAGCATTTCCGAGGTACCTGAAGAGCCAACTGCACCGGCTCCGAACAGTGTACCCGGCAGTGCGGGTGGTGTGGTCCGTCGTGATTCACAAACATCGCAGGCATCGAGCGTGTCGTCGGCCTCGAGGGTCTCGACACGTCCTCCCCAAACTCAAAGTTCTGTTGTTGAAGATGCGGAGGATACAATGAAGAATTTGCGTAAGACCTTTGCGGGGATATTTGGTGACATGTAGGAATTAGCGAACAAGAAACGCGGAAGAACAGCAAGTGAGACAAGTAGCGGCGGCGGTGGACCTGGCAGTGCAGGCGGAAGTGGCATAAGCGGCATTAGTACTGGCTCGTTTCTAGGCAAACAATTTTCGTTTGCAAGTGGCGGTGGCAAATCGGTGAGCGGAAGCACTTCAAGCGTTGCCTCAGACGTGATCTCAGCACAGCCGTCACCCAAACTGACCGCAGAGAAGCCTTACGATGCACGCTCGGACACCTCAACGAACTCCACATTGACAGCGGGCAGTATGAGCGTTAGCGCCAGCTCAGCCGCTAGCTACAGCAGCAAGCCATCTTCCAGTGTTTTAGATACATTCCAAGAGGAGAACAAATACAAGCCAGTCACCAATTTTGAGCCACAAGAACGTGTAAACCCCTTCGACAAGGGCGCACTAAAAACTTCCGCAACCAATCAAACTATCGGTAGCGCCGTATCCACCACTTCATCTTCATCGATATCATCCTCCTCGATTTCATCGCGTATCAATCGTAATGGTAATATGGGCATTAAGTCACCACCACCGCCGACTGGACCACCACCGCCACCACCGACAGGCGCAGTCGCTAACAACAGCTATCGCAACTCAATCTCGACCACGCCACCAAGTGCCGGTAAGGACAACCGTACTTTCAATTACGGCAGCTCAACTTCCATTGAGACCATTACACGCATGGATACCAATACAACAAATACCACTACAGCTGGTCCAAGTAGTGATGCCGCCATTGCTGCTAATGCTATTACCGATGATAACAATGTAACAGGCGTTGCTGCTGGCGCTACTTCCTCCACGAGCGGTGGCCCTGATTGGAAATCTAAGATGGGCATACGTTCGGCAAGCGTGTACAGCGCGCCAGCCGCCGTCAGCACCACATTGCCAGCAGCTGGCGATACCTCCGGCTATGCATCCAACTCGAGTCCTGCTTCAAACGCCTACAATACCACAGCCGATCTGCCATCGTACACACGACCATCTTATTCGCGCTCCGAGAGCAATGGTAATTATCTGGCCGTGGGCGTACTGCTCGTTAGTCTAACACTACGAAAATCTTAATCGAAAAGCAAAGTGAAAATAATATATAAAGGCGATCGGCCAGCGCTGCAGTGCCAATAAAGTTTTCAAAGGCTCATTCAGTACTTAATCACACATATCAGTCATACGTATATTTTCTATCAGCTCAAAATACATCACTTTACTCATACTCATAGTTCAACTCAAATATGCATCATTCCATAACCTCAAATAAGCGCAAAACTAATTAGCTGAGAAAATATTTTTTCACCCAAATTTAGAGAAGGAATTGAAAAGAGTATAGTATACTAACAATAATATTTTCATAAGCGAGAATAAACTAGGGAAAGTGCTTATAAGCCAACCCATAACCAATTGACTATAACTAAAGGTTACTACTTCAGCGCCTAAAACTAGCCTACACTACTAAGATTTATTTTTAGAGAAGTGAAATGCTAAAGAGTAAGCCAAAACTATATACATTTTGTACGACCAAAACAATATTTTCATAAACATATTAACGGTTTAAAAAATATACTCAAGATATAAACATATTCCTGATACAAACTACAAACGTAATATCATACAATTAAGACAACATAAAATCTAGCCAAAACTTTTCCACTTTTCTACGCTCCCGCTTACAAGAGAAATCATCCCTATTCATTAGTATCCCATTATCTCATAGTCCTACGCACTTTTAGTTATAAGAAACAAGCTTCTAAGGAAATTCTAAAATTATGTGCCATCCTCGAGACCCTTCCTCGACATATACTTACATACATGAAGACAACTTAGACATATGTTGACAAAAACAAAAATATTTCTACTCTGCTCTACTTTATGCTAATCAACGTTAAACGCCTAAGCCATCACGCCCATAACTGATTTTCCGTCCTCCTCTCTAACGAACTAAACTCGATTCACACTACAATATATTATATTATACGTTTGTTATTGTTGTATTCAATCGTCATGCCGCACTGAAGCATGTCGCCGCAAAGCAACAAAGCCAATGTTTCGTAAGTTCATTATTGTCTGGATAAATGCAACCCTGCAACTGAGCAAACACTAAAGCAATATATAATATGCAAAGATATCTTTATATTTTTTTATTTTTTCAAAAAAAAAAAAATAAACGAAATTCTTGCATCCACTATATTCATTGAATGTCTAATTAATTATCTAAAGTAATACATACTAAGGCTAAGCGCATAGTGGAATGTAGAGCAACTCAGCGTGGAAAGCAAGGCATAAATAAGCGAATATAAACATATTTGGTGTAATTTTACAACAACAAAAAAAGTGTAAGTAATGTTTTGCTCTCCACGCTGCTATGCGTTTAGCCTAGATGTTTTCGCAGCATGCCGAGAGAAGTAGTAAATTCAAAATCTTTAGAAAGACGCTGTAAGTTCAAAAATTTACGGTGAAAAATTTCATTTAAGTAAAAAATATTAATTATTTCATATCAATTACAAAATTAACTCTTTCAAAGTTTGAGCTCCTGATTATTCAATTTCGTATTATTCAAAGTATAACTAAAATACTTCTTAAGGTATAAACACCGCAATAACTGTTTTCTTTGGCTTTGGGCACTCTACACGCGGCACTTTCACCCACTTAACTACTACACACTCTGCATAATATATATGTATGTAAAAGTACCGCTAAAGCATCGGATTCTTCTGTATTCAGTTGCTTAATGAAATGTAAAGAAGGCTTCGTAAATGTAATTGGAAACACGACGGTACAAATTGCTGGCTTCTTTGTCTTTTTGTCTATTTATTAATGCAAATTATGATTTTTGCATAACTGTAATTGGCGAACATTGCATTTAAAAATTAAAAATATCTCCAATATGTATTTTAAGTATGAACTGTATGGTATCTTATACTTTATATACTTATACTTACTCGCATAGTTGCGGATGGGTTATCAAAATGCAAATAAAAAATATTAAATCTATAGAGCAAACTTAATTGTATTCAAAATTAATGAAACCACTTTATTAACATGAAATTAAAGTAATTATTAGAAATATTAAAGATCGTGCAAGGTTCAAAATAATTTCCGGCTATACAAAAGTGATCCTTCAACGATTTCTGACTGTAATTATTTTTATAGTAACAATAATTCTCGCAATTTTTCTATTATTATTTTATTTATAGCTGAAGTTTTAACAGTAAATTAAAGGAATTATATCAACCAAGTGGCTACATCTTTATCTAACAACCACACGGGACACATGGCTGACATTAGTACATTAGTTTTACACATCTATGGTCTTAATTTGTGCTTATCTCTAGATTTTGTGGTTTACCATCTGATCTGAATTTGACCCGGACTGACAAAAAAAAAACATTTTCACATATTTCAATACACATCTTTACCATCATGCCTTCAATATAGGTTTCTCTGGAGCGAATATATGCATGCCAACGCTTAATCTTATTTTATATACACTTGCTATAGGTCTCGGCTGGGATGGTATACAGTTCTAGGGTTATATACAGTTAGAAGGCTGAAAAAAGTTAATTTCCCAGAAGGTTTTCTGAGAAAACTTTATTGATCCAAAAATGTATACATATATTATGGTATCTTTTCACTATATTTTAAGACTTGGTACTAGTAAAAATATTTCGGCCTTAAATTGTTTATAAAAACAAAAATATTAATAAATAAATACAATAAATCTTCGATTAAGCACTGAAAAATATGTTTAAGAAGCTCGTGTTAAAATTTGAGACTAATCGCTTTAGCCGTTTTCGAGTAACGTTGGTCACCGGCTTTGAAAATACCATTCTGAGAATAACGAGTTTAAAGTTTGGTCAGATAGTCGCTGGCGCTCCGGCCTTGTACTTCCAAGCGCTCTGAAACGCCTTTTCAAATTTGCGTGTAACTTTGAAAATATTCACCAGAACGATATACAATTTTCTGTGTGTATTCTTAAATATATGTACATTAAGAAAATAAATTAAAATAAAATGATTTTTTGAAATTTCTAACTGTATGTAACCCTTTCAACGAATTTTCAGCTTTTCCGTTCAGGCTCAGTTTTGAAGCGACATTAGATAGATTGTTAGACAGTTTTAATATCATATTCATAAGCCCACGGCTCGTTACCAGTAATGGTGCGTTTGATAAATGAATCCTCAGCTACTTTGTCAACTATCTGCCTTGCGGCCTCTACTATACGACTTTTTTTGCAATAGATACAGTTCTTTCTGTACGATTCTAATTGTGTCAATTAAAAAAAATTTTTTTATTTATTCGTTTTCCGCGCGCAGTTTAAATGGATCAGTCCGAGTTACTTATGATCAGATGACATGGATCTATTTAAAGAAATATGATTTCAAATATCTCTTTTAAAAAGTATAAAATAACTAAATGTGACAGTTTTTTTTACCAAAACGAGAGATTAGACGTTAAACAAATACACACGATAAAAAGTCGACCATATTGATTGTTTCGAAAAGCTAAAGCCAAGGCTCAAAGCTCAATGTTATACTATTACACTAAATATTTTTTGTAACCATGGAGATAATAATTGGTCGTGGTAATCAACCATCAGTATATGTAGATTCCTTTGAAGTTCTCATGAAGTTCATATGTGTGTTATTCCCAATTCGCACGTGATAACAATTGCTGTTTGTAATTGATTATGTAATCATTACCCGAAATTATTTAAATTTAACATATGTTATCTAACACAGTCTCTACTTCTCTGCTTTTATTGTTCTATACCAAATAATTAATGTTTTAAGATTTGAAAAATTGTTATATTCGCTAGAAGCAACATGAATAACCTTTTCCGATTTCCCATAGACTTTGAGGACATTATTTAAATAGTAAATTTCATAGGGGTTTCTAATTTAAAAAGTTCTAGCCACAAAGATAGTTTTAAGAACATTTTTTAATAATATTTTCCACTGTAATTTATTTAATATTCAAATATGAATAAAAAGGTTTGTGAGAAGAATCTAAATCGTCAAATCACCAAATAAAACTTCAAATCACTTCATGCAATTCATTTTTCATCATATAATATTTAAAGCTATAGGCTAAATAATATTGCACAATCATCACAATATTTTGATAACTCATTCCCATCACTCATACATTACTCAGTGTCTATGCATTGAATTTTCAATTTGGCGTCAAAGCATTGCTAATTCGAAATTTTAGTAAAATTGAGCAACAGTATTTTTGTAAACGCACTGCATATTCATGGTTTTAATTTCATATTTATTTTAAATAAAGGTTAACCAATTTCACACTACTTACAGCTTCCAACAAACAATCCGACTTGGACATAATCTTCGGCGACACCAACAATGCTAAGCCAAGCTATGGCAACGGCAAGTACACACGCGCTAGCTCCGATGCCGAACTCATATTCGGCGGACCACCGACCAATTACAAGGCCGATCGCTTTGGCGCCTCCAAGAGCATGAGCGTCACATCCGAGCGTAGCAACGACGGCAATGACAGCTACAATTCGTACCGCAATTACGAAGGTATACAAAATGCGGCATTTAGCGATTTTAGTGATTCGCCGAAGACGGGTAGTGTTAGCAGCATTAATTCGTTTGGCACCACGAACCGTTGGAATAAGCCAACTGTTGAAGAGGATGATGAATTGGATTTGAAGTAGGACAGGGTAATAAAACTTAGCAAAATAAAAGTTCGTTAAATGGCGAGGGTATATAACATATATAAATGTTTATATATATATAAAAATTATATATATATAGGTATATACTAATGCCAAGTATTAGAAAATACAAATTTGAACTTGGCAAAGTAAAAAGGAATGAGGAAATGGACGAAAAATATATATCAAAAGTAAACAATACATACACATGCGCATCTTTCGCCTCTGAAGTTTCCTGGTTTCATAGTGGAAAGAATACTTCATAGAAGCAAGCGTAGATGAAAAGTTAAATTTTATTTTATTTGTTTTTTTTTAACTTATATATTAAAATTTTTTCATGATTTTATATTTTTGGTTACTTATATGACTAATTTTAAGAATTGCTGAAATTCAAGGTTGGTATTTAAAATAGGAATCTACTACATATGTTTAATGTCTATTTATTTAAAATAATACAAAGTAAGGCTAAATACATTGTGGAACTAAGAAAAGGTGAACTAGGAACAATTAAGCGAATATGAAAGTAATTTATATAATTTTACAAAATAATATGTTTTTGTATTTAGAATAAGTAGTCTTTTTTTCTCATGCACTTATGCCTCTACAGAATTCAAAAGTTAATCGATAGTGGAAATGGAGTGATATATAAGTGTAGAATATAATTGCATAGTTTACAGAGTTCTCTTTAATTAACAATTGAAAAATCTCAATCGGATGCTTTTACAAAATTTCAAAACTTCACGTCTTCGTTTTGTGCTATCATTAACTTTTAGGCCAAATGAAGTAGTAAATTCTTAATGTATAAAATGGCACTGTGAGCTCAATAAATGAGACTCAAAACGTTCGCTTAGAAACTTTCGTGAATAATTTCACAATTTCCAACAACTGTTTTTTTTAAAGCCACCATGAAAAATCCACCACATATTTACCAAGAAAATAATCTTCAATATATTTTAGATCAGCCAAAGGGCGATAATTTCCGTTCACAAACGTAAATATCGGCACAAATTTTTTAGGTCTAAACTCTACTGATCACATATAACTTAAGAACTTGCTATTCTCTAACGAATCAACAGTCCAAAAAGTTACAAAATTTGGCTTTAAGAATTCGAATATATATTAAATATTAGTTACAATATTCAAGTATAGTATGTTTTTTCGAAATTTCTTTTCATTGTATTTGTAATTATTTTTTTGTAATAGTTTAGTTTAGTCTGTCCATTATTATTTTTATATAACCAAAAACTATTCAAAATTTGGAATTTATTTTTTTATAATTTTATATAACAAAGTAATACACATATAAATACAATATATGTAGCCGTTTTTTTAAACGTGATTTTTTTTTTTGCAAAATTTTACAAATATTAGAATTTTCCAAATATTAAAACTTATAAAAATTAGATTTTTTGAAATCATTAGAACAACAATAATTTCGCTGATAACTTGTATTTTATTTTTAATTATTTAACATTTTTCATAGTAAATGCTTGTCTCAAACATTTTTTCAACTATTTAAAAAAATTATATTAGCGAAATATTAGAAATATTTAAAGTCGAAATACTTTTATTTGCGAACTGTTCATCGTTAATAAGTAACCGATTTATTATCAGCTATTAAATGTAACATTCTTCATCTATACATAAACGAAATTTCGGAAATCATATTTAAAAAGTAGTTACTTAAATAACACGTACAACTACCACCTATCTACTCAACATTAAATACTTAAAACAAAATACATACAAATCACTAAAAGAGTACTATATACAAATACAAACACAATACAATAATATTGATACTAGGCATATGTGAAAAAAGTAAAGGCTAAAGAGTAGCTGAAGAAAGAAAATCGATTGCAGCGGTTAAACTACCCGAAATCTGCAAAAAATATTAATGCAATTGAAAGCAATTTATAAATTCTACAAATGTGAGGCGTATGTGTTGGTATTGAAATTTTTGGAAAAATATTGTATTGCATTACTACTTATATATATATACATATATACTAAGAAAATCGAATATGGGAACATTAAATAAAAGTTAAAAAAATTGAGAAAATTGAGAAAATTATAAAATTAACAATGAAATGTAAAACGGCTAATCGCTGAAGATCATTGAAATCTATTAAAAGCTGAAAAAATACTAACAGATGATAAACAATTAACTAATTATGAAACAAGCAGACCGAAAACTCAAGAAAAACATAAAAAATTAAACTTATAAAATAGCAAAATATTAATTTGTTATTCCAACATGAGACACTAAACAACAATATAAATGACGCTGATTATTTGTATAAGTACACAAGACAATATATGCATAAAATAATCATGAAGAAAAACCAATAAAAATTAAAAATAAAAATATTAAAAAACACGTATTATAAAAGGGGTAATAAATAATATACATTAATTTCGTAATAAATAATACACTAAAATTTACTGTTAACTCTAATCTTCAAAGATAAAAAAACTATTTGGTGTGAAGTTAAAAAAAAAAAATATACTCATATAAGCATACAAAAATATGAGTTCTCGAATCGCTCTAAAATATATACAAAAAAGATAATTAATTTCATTTATTTGGTCATCGCAACACTTAATATATATATAGATAATACATATAAATTATATAACATTCGTTTGAATACAGAGTGCTCCATTTCTTTCAAAAGATTAAACATTAAATTGAAAACTTAAAACCCAAAACAAGCCACAACGAACACAAAAAACATAAAAAAAGTATAACAAAAAATCAATACTATTCAAAGTAAGAAAAAAAGTATCAAACTTGATAAGCTTATGCAGCTATTGTTTTTTGAACATCATACTTTGAAAAGTGAAAGCACAAAAAAAACTTTATATTTATTTGCACAATTAGAAAGCTCCAAAACAACTCATCAGCTAAGCTTATAAATAAGCTCTCATAAAAGCTCTTAAAATAGTTGAGGAACGATAACTAAAATCATTTTAAGTAAAATTTTTAAATAGCTTAATGCACAAGCGATTCCGAAAGATATATAAGTGATGTGTCATAAAATCTCTTGAAATGGTTTTCGTAATGATTTCGAAAAGCAGTATAAGAAAGCTTTTATAAAAGCTCCTAAAAGTGTTTACGAAGGATTCGAAAGGTATTATAAATAAGCTTTCATAAAAGCTCTAGAAAAGTTTACAAGCCATTTATAAAGTCTTAGTGCACTTGTCTTGATTAAAAACGACAAGGAAATCTATGAGTTGGCAGAATACTTTCACGTCTTTTGGTGAAAGTCAAGGCTTTCGTATTATGAAAAGAAAGCTTTATGAGTAGAAAATTAATGCACAAAAAATATTTTAAATTAGTGTTGGAGTGAAACTGTCCTCGCTTTCATGAATGGAAACTCTACAGAATTCAAAAGTTAATCGATAGTGGAAAGTGAGTGATATATAAGTGTAGAATATAATTGTATAGTATACAGAGCTCTCTTTAATTAACAATTAAAAAATCTCAACCGGATGCTTTTACAAAATTTCAAAACTTCACGTCTTCACTTTGTGCTTTCATTAACTTTTCGCCCCAAAATAAATGTGTGCTCTCATTAGCTTTTCGCCTTTCTATTATATATTAATTCAAAATAAAAGTTGAATTGTTTTTTCTTGAAAAAACTATAAAATAAACAATTGCAATGATTATAAGTAGATAATAATTAACAAATTAGAAAATAAATGTGTTTAATGGTATGCAATGTTTGTTATTCAAGCACTCACACAAATACACATATTTTGTTTGGTTGTGTTTAAAGCTAATAGCAGAATTATTATTAAATAAATATTTACATATAAGAACCCCTAAGTACAGTTAGTCAACTTACATGCATAGTTCTTATAACAGCTTAAGATAATATACAAATAGCAAAAAAAATTGTGTTGTTACAAATTGAACCTTTTAAATTCAAATCCAGTTATGGAAAAAACGCATTGAACTCAAAATACCCAATACTAATTAAATGTTTTTTCCTCAAATCGACTCTAACCTCACTTTTCCCCTTAAATGTGACATGTTTAGATTGAAATGTTTATAAAAAACAAAAATAAATAAATATTACTATTATATAAATATTACATTATATAGTATAAGCAAAAAAATTACAAAATTTTGAAATATGTTTGCACGCTATTCAGTCGCTGAAAATTCCAAAAAAAACTAACCGCATATTAATGTACACCACTTTATAAGCTACATACTTACATTCACCATACATATTCATATTGTTCTTGTATAATCCACAAATCGTAAGGTAACAAAGCATTATCATATAACAACACATCATTATCTTAAGCATACATACAAACAAACGTATAAATTTAGATATTTGAACAAAAAAGCAAGCAAACAAAGTTATTAGCACAATTACACTAATTTACAAAATAAAAAGAAATTTAAAATAATTAGCATTAAATAATTAAATGTAGCTAATCAATATGAAAGTTTATAGGCAATTGTGACAAAAACGCACCAACAAGCTAACGCAAATACAAAAACAAATGCACTAAATAAAAATAAGAAGCCCACAAGAGATATAATTAAAGAAGTTGCCCCGGAAAAAAGTTGCATTTACCGTTATGTAATCATATATACTCACACATATACATAGTTATATATCACAAGCATCCTGTTACACCGACGTGCATATATCATAAAATCACTCATACATACAAACAAGTATATACAAATATTTGCTCATATATTGTGTAAAGGATATATACACACATACATAGCTACTTGCGTATATCATATACGCTAACTCCCAATATCATCCATTCCCAAGACGAAAACTCGTAAGATTGCGAGAAAAAATTAGTAAAAATCATTTTCAATTTCACAAAATCATACAAAACCCTCGAGCTGTTGTTCCCAAATTAAATATTTACCATAAAAGGATATTAAGTAAAACCTCAAAAAAAAGTTTATTAAAAAAATATATATACTATTAAATATGTATGTGTTGAATGTGACTACTTACTTAACACAAATTACAAATACAAATACAAAAAGAAAAACATTATACATACATACAACTATGAATATGATTATTACAATTATTAAATATGATGATTGATTATGAGCATAATGGGATATAATGGATACAATAATGAGTTGATAAATAAAAATATTACATTTTTAAAATGAAAATAAATTCTGTTTTATTTTATTTTCTTCTGGTAGCCAAAAATGTTTAAGGCTGTTAGGCTAGTTTGAAATTAAAAAAAAAAATCGATCATTTTATAAGGTATGTTATCACATTCAAACAGCAAATGTATAGTTTTTCTATGGCACTAATAGAAATGCTCTTCAGCACCTCGATTATGGCCTGACTGGCTCGGATATCATTCATCATGCTTCTTTCATGTTGGTTTTCAGTTTTGGAAATAGAAAATCGTCTCATGGTGATAGATCGAATGATTACGGAGTGTGATTGATGCGTGAAATGGTTTTTTTCTCGTTAATTTTTTTGATTTTCATTTAATTCATTTGGAACATGACCAGCATTTGCCCAAAGCTTCAGTTAAAATGCTCAAAGTATTGTTTTTACTCGTATTAAATCCTTTAGCCAATATTTTCGTAGAACGTTGTGTATCTATAACAATAATTTCACGGACTTTTCAAAAATCAAATTTAGCACGCTTACTAGCTTCTGGACGAGTTGACCTTTGGTCGTTATTTTTAAATCGTGCAAACCTTGTATAAATTTAAGTACGACTTATATTGTTGTATGAATTAAATATAAAGTTCGTTGTTCATTTTATAAGGTTAGGTTAGGTCGTGGGGCTGCTCGTACCAAAAGTAACGCAGGATTTCACTAGCACAACTGTGAACGCTAGTCCTTTGTGATTCCCAAAACTTGTAGTGATACCACAAATTTTATAAGACAGTTTATATCAAAATCAGCCACTTCAATAGGTCCACCGATATTGTCTCTACCGGGGCATTTCAATCTCAGTCTGGCAAAAGCCGTGCAATAGAGGAGGAAGTGACAACATAATTCCAACAACTCTTCTTCCACACAGCTTTGGCAAAGGGCGTCCGATAGCATACTTAACCGCACAAAATGTAAACATATTGGAAAATTATTGATTTGGCTAAGAGATAGTAGTTTGAAGGACCTCTTACGGTTCACTCTGGGCAAGAAGGATCTTACAGTCGTACAACTTCTGGTTATTAACCAGTCATACAAATCATACAAATACATTGATTTTGTTTATTTGAGGTCACAAACTGAAACTGAAAACAAAAGTTTTAATTATGTCTTAATATTAACCCAACACCACCCCCCCCACATCTCTCTAAATATATTCGTGATGACGTTTTAATATCCTACAAAACTTGTATTCACAATATATTCTTATTTCAACAGATGAAAACATTCAAAGCTCTTCTCAAATTTGTCCTGGTTTAATTTAATGGGAGTGCTGCGGAGTTTTGTCAATAGTTGTATTCAATTCAATAAACGTTGGAGAGTAGTTAATTGAACAAACTTTACCAGACATTCAAAAAAGAAGACAGCACTTGCCTTGCAACCCTGCGCTAACATATGCTCCGACGGATGCGCAATTTCTATAAACAATTATAATTATTTTAAGTTTTAATAACAATAAATTGTCACTTGAGTCATTCCCAAAACAACTTGATAACTTTGAAGATAGCGGTTATACTTCTTAAATGTTTTAACCGCCTACTTCCTTGCACCAATTCAAATCGATAACTATCTTATTGCATTTATATGCAATTTTTTTTTTGGAAGAGAGCATAGCGAGCAGAGAAATAGCGAATTGAAGACACCAATTATTTTTTTTATACAATTTCTGGATCATATATGTTCTTATATATTTCGAACCCATTAAAGAAATGTGTCCTTAACCCCGGAATTAATTTGTAAAATGCAATTTTGCTTCAAATAAAATTATGTAATTTTGTTAAGAAAGCGTGCAACATGTCTTTAATAGCTGAGATTGCCGCACTTAACTTCCAATAAAGACTAACAGCTGGAACATATCACTTTATATACTTACATATGAACATACATAAGTATGTATTGTTTATTATGTTATTCACAGATCGTCGACATCCAAAGGAATTGAAAATAATTTCACATATTGGCATTGGAATATGCAAAGTTGATTGGCATAATACGTTAAGGTTCAAAACGCAACAGTTCAAAGCGAAAATTTTCACAACTAAAATAACTTTGTAATATGAAGCTGAAAAATTATAATTTAATTCTATATAATGATAATATATGGAATGTTGAAGTCGTTGATTGATAATTTTGCTTCCAGCTCACAAGACTGATAAACTAAAAGTAAGTTGCCAATAATGACTTATAAATTCATTGAATTATTTCATATTATTATCGGCTCATTATATACTAGCTGCTAACAGCAACGGTTTTTAAGTCTTCAGCGAAATGGAATAAAAAACAAGTAAGGAAGTTCAAATTTCGGGTGTAAACGAACATTTTATACTCTTGCAACGTGCTAGGATCAAAGCCCGGGAAATTACTTCAGGTGTTGGCAAAAATTTATATTAAAAGAAGTATTGATCCAATTCAACCAATCACAAAGACATACTATTATCGAAAGTTTCATTTTTTAATTTATTTTATGAATTTCTATTATAAATCTCACACATTGACCGATATTTTCGGTAAAAAGTCAGCTATAGGCACTGTGGTTCACATATTCAGTACCTAGGGGCTTGAACGGTTTTGGTTCGATTTAGATAATTTTTGGTCACAAGGTATAATTCACGTAAAGTTTTACCCCGATAGAATCATTGTAGCATGATTTATAATATGAGAAGAATGCTATGTACCGAATTTTGTTGAAATCGGTTAAGCAGACAGTTACCATGCTGCCACGAAGATTTGACAACAACCATATTATTCAGGTGCACTTGAAACGTCGATTGGAATATGAACAAACTTTTATGACGGAGACAGTGTGACCAGCAAAAATATTGGAGGCACTGAACTATCTGCTATGTACGTCAAGCATAATATACAAATGTCAAGTGATTGGCTAGCAAATGTTGTAAACGAGGAAACTGTGCCATGTATTTCGGATCCTGCAGATCACGCAGAAGTAAGAGACCTGCTTAATGCCCGGAAGGAAAATTCACCGCTTGAAATAGAAGAGAAATTAAATCCCGGTGGTCAGGAGACTTAAACGGACAATGAACCCGTTGAAAATAGATCCATTGAACGGATTGGATGGCACCAGGACAAGGTAGATGCCCAAGGGACGTTACAACCGACGACGATGCTCAGGAGTTGTCGTATCCAACGATTTACTGCGGAAAGAAAAGGACATCCACAACAACTTACAGTAAAATTGCACGCTATGATCGGCGTTGTGTGCGAGTGGACGTACTCCTGTATATTTACTTGTATAAGTTCTACGAGTTAGAGCGCCTTAAAAATGCAATTTCCATTTGCCTGCGTAAAAAAATTGGATCAAGGAATATAACTGTTGCAAATGTGAGGGATGAAAATTTTGTCAGCAACCTTATCTAGCATGATGACGGCTATCATGGACTTAAAGGACTTCGATCCTCACCTGCACATAGGGAGGCTGAGAAGAAAAAAGTTTTAGCCATGATCCGCCAGTTTGGTTTGCCAATATTTTTCATAACAATCTCTGCTGAAGAAAATGCAAATGGCCTGAGCTGTTTGGAGAGCATTTGGTCGTCCGTTACTATTACAGAATTGAACTCCAGCATAGGGTCATGGCATATACCAATTGAAAAGTGATAGAGTTATCAACACAAATGAAGTTGAAACATTCATCGACCGACACATCACGACCGATGGGGATGATTTGGACTTACTGGAATTCATTCAGTATCAAAAGCATAGACATGGCCGAGCTTACCTAAGAGACCTACATGGAAAGCAAGTGTGCCGATTCAACATGCCATATCCGCCGATGCCACGGACAGAAATACTTTTCCCCTTGGAGAATGAGGAAGGTATTTAGCAACACAAAGATGAATTCCAAAATATACATTAACTACTAACGGATCTTCCAGAGGAAGAAATTACACGGTTAAACTGCTTCGAAAATTTTTTGGCGGATGAGCGAATCAACACTGATTATGAAGGATACAATCTTGCTCTTTGCTCATCTGTAAAAAACCCACACATTTTCCTAAGGAGAAAATTTTCAGACAAGCTTCTTAATGCCTATAATTGAAATATATTTAAATTGCATAGAGCAAATATGAATATTCAATTCATTCTGGACACATACGCTCCAATAGAGGAGTATCAAGACTAGTGAGACAAGCAATGGAGGAAATAATTGCACGGAATTTCTCCATTAAAATAAAACTGCAGTACATCGGAAACAAATTTGTAAACGGATCGGAAATATCGGCTCAAGAAGCAGGTTATAATATTTTAGGAATACATCTATCAGAAGTCCGTAATGGTGAAATATTTATAAATATATCACATCTAAGCAACCGAGTAAGGATGATAAAGCGCAGGCATGAATTAAGAGCTTTACAGGACGACTCTACGGACATATATGTGCCGAGTGTGCTGGAGCACTACTCTTAAGGGCCCGATTAATCGAAAGAACTATGCTTAGCAGATTTTGTAGCATGGTTCAGATTTTGAAAAACGAACCGAAATGTTTCTGATAATAACGAAGTAGAAAACGAGGATGACACGTCAGCTGCACTTCCAATAGCATTAAAGGATGGATCAGGACCTCACAACTTTTAGATTCCGAACTCAGAGCCCTATCCGTTCCAGAGCAAACAGGAGACATTAATGTTATTCAAGAGCACAACAAAACAGAGGAAGAGGTGGTTCGATTAATTAAACTGCCACCTTTAATATTAAAAGACGATTTACTGGCAATGGTCTCACTTTGCTCATGTAATGCACAATGTCAAACCCAGTCGTTGACGTTACGAGCTAATAATGTACCAGGAACCAATCTCGAAACAGCCAAGGTGTTACTCTGCGTTTAAGTGTCAGTATGTTTTTGTCATCGGTGCGAAGATGAGCTTCGAACAAAGAGCCAACATTCAATTTTTTTTTTAAAATTGGTAAAACTTTTACCGAAACGTTTCAATTGATGAAACAAGTTTATTGCGATGATTGCCTATTCCGTAGCAGAGTGCACGAGTGGTTTCAACGTTTTCAAAGTGGTCGTGAGGACATAAATGAGAATGGAGAAGTCAAAAGTGAAGACAATACTGATTTGTTTTTATGATTCCAAGGGTATTGTCCACAAAGAATTTGTTCCACCCGGCCAAAACGTTAATGAGGTATTCTACCTTGGAGGTTTGAAGCGTTTGGTGCACCGTATTCGACGTGTTCGGCCCGAATATCGCGAAGATAGAAGTTGGCGTTTGTTGCACGATAAGGCGCCGTCTCATTGATCGACGCTTGTGGCCGATTATTTGACCAAATCATCACATTTTGACAATCAACCACTCCCCGTATTCACCTGATACGGCACCGTGCAACTTTAACCATTTCGGAAAAATGCATTTGCCGATGAAAGGAAAGCGTTATGCAGACGTGGAGGCCATTCAAAGGGCTTGCACCGGCATACTGGGGGCCATACCGGGAAAGGAGCTAAAACACTCGTTCGACATGCTTTTGGACTGTGCAAAAAGCTGTATTAAAGCAGAAGGAGACTATTTGAATAAAATTAATTGATTTTGCCGATAAAAATATTTGTTCTGTCTTTTTTTTTTAAAGTCCTGTTTACTTTGGAACGCACCTTGTAAAACTAGCGACATCTATGCGTGACTTGGGCAGATGTTTGTTCTTTGTGTTACCCATAGATTAGTAAAAGTGGATCACCAGATCCTTATAGATCGACGAATTGTTTTGAGCTTACAACAAATTCGACTTCGCTGGGTTCGCCAAAGCTATGTCTATAGAGCCATTTCAATCTCAGTCCGGCAAAAGCCCTGCCACAGAGCAGAAAGTTAGCGTGCATTAAAATATTTTGCCGTACCGCGTGTGAACCTATTGAACACATTCGTTAGTACTAATTATGGACATCGATGCGCACTTCTACACCTAATATGATGATTATATAAAGTTACCAGAAAGTATTTCCCGCCTTTGATTCTCAAATTAAATTTCAAAGAGTCTAAAATGTTCGATTACACCTGATTTTAGCTCTTCCTGACTTGTTTAAACGACCGTTTTGACCGAATATAAGTTATTCCAGTTACATAAGCGGGGAACTTTGACCAATAGTCTAACTAATTCGGCTGCAGTCCGAATTTTCTAAGTCTATCGCATTTATGACTGGGGTTTTATAGCGAGTGTAACCAACCATCTACGTTATGTGGGTGTTCTTGATACTTTGGTAAATATAATTTTGTGAATACGATATTTACTTTACTTCAAACGACGCCGACTAGGCTAATGACATTTGCTAGAGCAAGTGCATTTGCAGTTTTGGGTGTTTATGTCTTTTCACCAAATTACCTAACTACCTGATGCATTGACGAATTTGTTAATATGTACTTATATGGTAAGTGCAACAGTTGGCCTCAAACCATAAACTCAACATTGCCTCACAAATTTCTTTGTATATCTTTTTTTTCATTACTCGCTTACGCCTTCCATGTTTCATTGCATAGTATATTTGTTTACTTGCTTATAATTTGTTGGAAAACTCACTTTCGTGCCCAGCGATGCCTGCTAAATCAGCACAAGCTAGCGGTGCGCATACGCAGGTACGACGACAGCACACATTTTGCACCTGTGCAAATATTGTACCTGAGGAGTCGTCTTCGGCACTGCACTTGCCAGCGACGCTATTAAATGCGGAAACTATCAAAGCATTTCGCGCTTCTTTGACTTTGCTCTTGAAAATACCTTGATAAAACCAGGCGTGCAGTGTCGTCAAATTTTAGTCACGTTTCGTTGCTGAGTGACACACACGCAATCCGCAATTCAGGAGCGTTACGCGTTTTTATTAGATTTGGTTTTAAATTCATTTCTCCATTGCAATGTCAGTGAAGAGCTGGCGCCTTTTTGTGATTTGCGCGCTTGTGGCGCTGCCACAAATTCGTTGTGCAATTTTCGCCTACGATGTGGATCGTAATACGAGTACGAGTAATTTCAATGAGATGATAGAGCGTCCGACAGGTTGGCTACAAGCGGCACAGGATATGATCGCCAGTCCGGCGGGGCATGTGGTGACACAGGTTGCCAAGGAGCTGATCAATCGCTCCACGGGCAATAGTCAAGTATGTGAAAGAGAAAAGTGATAAATAATATTAAAGAAGTGAAAAAAAATCTGTAAACAAGTTCCAATGTTTATCAAAGACTTCCTGAAATCAGCTTTATTGTGTCTTGCTGAAATTAATCCGCCGCTAACTAAACTAAAACTTAAACATAACCCAAGCCAAATTTCGTGAAGATATCTCGTCAAATGAAAAAACTTTCCATACAAGAACTTTATTCCGATCGTTCAGTTTATATGGAAGCTATTTGCTATAGTGGTCCTATACCGACGGTTAAATGAAATGAACAAATGTGCACCTTCTTGATGAGAACAGGACGGGTGCAAAATTTTAGATCGATATCTCAAAAACTGAGGGACTAGTTCATATATAGACCGACATGGCTAAATCGACTGAGGGCATTACGGTGATCATTTATATATACACTTTATAGGCCTTTTTTTCGCGCATACTGGCAGGCTCCTTATCGAAAATATGCGAAAAATTTCGTGGAAAGTTTCAATAAAAACCAAACATGGATATATCTAAAATTACAGTTTATAAAATGTCTTGATGTCTCAATGAAAATCTCGCGCTCGCATCAAAAGTAATTCGCATCGACTACTCGGAACAATGATGTCGCCAAATACCCAGATATCGGAACAATCTACCAATGGATGTGATTGGGAGGGTGGAACCTCTACACTACAATTATTGTCACGAAATAAACTCATTGATTTAATACGTGATCAAGTTAGGAATGTAAAGACAATTTGTCAAAGCGTTGGACGTGGAAGGAGTTTGGTGACATTTGTAGAAAATCCCGCAACTTAGTATGGAAAAGTTGAAAGATGGAATATTTGATACAGTAATTACATATTATATTTGATACAGTAATCCTACATTACAGTGTGAAAATAGGCGAAATCAACCAAAAACCACCCCTACAAATATAACAATTTTGAATTCCATCTGATTCTTTCACTTTCCTGGATTCGGATAAAACTTTGCACAATAATGCATAAAAATTTTCGAACCATAATATTTGAAGAACCCAGACGTTAAATACGTGGACCTCAGTGCGTATGGCTGACTTTTTGCCGAAAATATCGGCCAACCTGTGAGATATATTATTGAAATTCGGGGGAAATGTTTTCATGATAATACTAATGTTAATACTTCCCTTAGCCCACATATACCTAATATAAAGATTTTCGATATATGTGTTCTTTTATCTTTGTACCTAAAATGGAAAGAATCGGGTGAAAACTTGCCTTAACCCCCATGTAACAGATATTCACGATTTTGAAACGTCCGGCTAACTTTACTCCATATATATGTTTTTATTCATAAAATTATTTGAAAATAAGTTCTCAAGTATACCTAAGAAATGTTAAAAACGAATGCAATCAGGCCTAGTTTTTAATATTATCAACACCTGAAGGTATATAGCCGGATTTGACCCTTGCAAGTTGCAAGAGTATGAAATGTTCGGTGACACCGCGTAGCAATTCCTTACTTGTTTAAAATATAACATATGTTTTCGACATTTTTCCCTCGGGTTACTAGAAAATGAAATCACTGTAGACCAGTGGTGTTTAATTAATATTAACATGAAAATACTTCCAGTTCGAAATGCTTAAAATAGAAATCCACTAAAGCTGTTAATATAATTCTCAAGTAGCTCTAATATTTATAAACACAAAGTTTATAACTTTATTTATACTTATTAGTCGTACTTGATAGATACCCCATTCACAGTTTATAGCGACAAGTCCTACGACTGTATATAAGAATATTGATTAGCATATAAAAACATATCATAAAGGGTGATCCAATTCGAATCTCCCTACTTTTCTAAAGAAAAAACCACAGAATATTCAAATTTATTGGGTAATTTTTTTTTTGGCATTTATTTTTTGAAGATTATCTCTTTCAAATGTTGGCCGCGGCTACCTTTCAGATGATCCATCCGTTGAGTCCAATTTTTGATCACTTGTTCGAGCATTTCGACTGGTAACTGGCGAATGACACGCTAGATGTTTTGCTCCAAGGCCTTAATCGAAGCGGGATTGTCCGCATAGACTTTAGACTTTACATATCCCCACAGGAAAAAATCTAACGGTGTAAAATCACATGAAATTTTCTGCTCACTGAAGTGTTTTCCGATGACTCCACCGGCCCACAAACCACACCAACCCGTGGCTTTTTATGGATGAAATGACACCTCTTGAATCTCTTCAGGTTGCTCTTCATCTCAAGTGCTACAATTTTTCATGTTTACATACCCAAAACTGGGCTTTATCGCTGAACAAAATTTGGCCCGAAAGCGATGCTGAAGAAAGCTGAGGAAGATCTTTAAGATCTCAACGTAGAATGCGCCAAGTCGATACATACGTTAGTCCGACTTGCTACGAACGGTGCCGAACCTGCTCTCCACGGTCTTCTTGTACACTCTCCGCTATGGCCCCTATATTCTTTTTACTGCATGCTGGACGTGGTATATTCGGTCGAATATTATCCAATAATAAATGCTGGGTCTCAATATGGGTGAGGGTTTTGCGAATAGTACGCTCAGTAGGAAAATTATGTTTACCATAAGTTGTACGAAGCGCGCGAAACACATTTTTCACAGAATGTGAATTTTCGTAATAATATAGACTCACGCGTGATATGTCAAAAAAAGGCTATTGAAAAAAGTGTCTCCACTTGGACCACCCGGTATAATAAAATAAGATATTTATGCTTTAAATAAGCTACTCTAACAACTTCCTCTCAACGAAATTAATTTCTTTCATTGCAGGTACTCAGCTTGAACCTTACAAATCTACTGATAATAGTTTTACTAAAAATTTTAATATTTGCCGCTGGTATGTTAGGCGCCGGACACTGGAGTGGCTATGGGTATGGATATGGACATGCGCGAAGTGCTGAGGGTAAGAATATCATTTTAAACCAGAATTTTCTATTATTATGACAGATAATAATATAAGTAAAAAAAGTATTTTATAACTCAAAAAATAGGTTACGGTTTAAAATAATTTAGAAAGTGGAAATAAAATGATTTATATTAAATCATAAACTCAGACCTACGAGAGTAGTCTATAAGCACCTAATCAAAAAAGGCTTAAACTAAAACAAGTAAAAGGCTAAGCTCGGGGGTAACTGAACACTTTATACTCTTGCAACTTGCAATGAACAAAGCATGAAAAATGCATTCAAGTGTTAGGAAAACTTTATATTAAAAATTGTTGCGAAGCAATTCAACATTCATTATTCAATGAAATTTTAAATGGATTACAATCAAATTTGGTATTTTATTAGTTATATTACAGCTCATAGACTCACTTAGTTTTATTTTTATATTTAACTTCCTGTCAGCTAAAATTGTATTATGTTCATCTTCAATTGAGATATATGGGAAGTAAATACAAAAAGCAAAATGTAATATAATGAATTGATGTGAAAACGTCAACCAGAGCAAGTGCAATTCATTATTTTAAGGATATAAAGTTGTGACTAATGTCTAAACCAATTTCATTCATATTCACACACAATTTTTAAGAAAACTTGTTCATTTTGTCAGGTGGAAAGTCGGAAATTATTATACAGACAATATAAGGGACTGAGAAAGGGAAGGGCTAACTGAGTTAATTTTGACATTGCTGAGGTATACTTGAGATCATATTTTAAGCAATTTTTTAAGTATATATTGTAACTCACACATTGAACGACATGTTCGGCAAAAGGTTTGATAAAATAACGAAAATCGATATATGTAGTAATTGGGAGTGGGGTAATTCGTAGAATAAAGTAAACATTGTTATATCCAATATTATACGTTGAACTATAGTATATCCGATATTAATCAGTTATTTTTGCTAAGCTATCTTTCATATTGAGTGATATATATGGCATAAGGCCAACCGCAAGTTTGAGTATCTTATGTTTGGTATATGAGAGATAGAGATAGTATTGACCCGATATACAAATATCAATTTCTGGCAATTCATCACATCATTAACAGAATAACATGCTACCTGAATTTCATCAAAGTACCTCACATACCGTCACCAACATACTCGTATATTGAATGTTTGAAAATTCTGTGATTAGTTATATGGAGCTAGGGAAAGTTTTCACCCGATTTTACTTATTTTAGGCACAGAGATACACTGTTATTAAGAACATACGCTTTCTCATTTTTATTGAGATAACTTACATTCAGTTTCATTTCATTCATCAGTGTTACGCCTCATTATTATGATTTGAGCTAGCAGAAGGTCTAAAGTGATTGCATTAATGTATGCTTGATAATATGTTTTCATCCAATTTCATGAAGATAATTCACATATTGACCGATATATTTGCCCCGCAGATTTAGACGTGGTTTCGCATATTCTTTTAGTGATATTTAATAATAATTGGCATACTATTTTTTGTCGGGGATACAAAGAAACATAGACCAATAACTTAAAATGGTGGCTTAAACATAATTAAATAAATAAATTAAAACTTGATATTATATAATTATCGTGGCCCTTTCATTTTATCCAAATATTTTTCCTGGCCCCTAATAATCGAGGCCACATTAAATTCCGCTCTAGCAGAATTTATCTTCACCCAGTAATAGATGTTATAAAATCGTTTCTCATATAGATCTTCACTTCGGCTTAAGCGATGGCGAGGATTACCTTATCACCGGTTTCTTAGCAGCACAAGGCATCGGACTTGATGACTGCCTTTATGCAGCGGCATGCGCCAGCCCGAGTGTGGCTTATGAATATGCAAAGGCAGCAAAAGCATTAATTGAAGGCATCAAAAAGTACGAAGGGTAAGCAAACGATTTTTCAAGTCTTCGAGAAGAAAATATTTGTGACACATTTTTATTTATTCACCAGCAATGCTTTCAATAATCCGCGCTACAATGATCTCATTGTACTGCTGGAGAAGGCGGCCTATGATGGCTATCGCGGCTTACCCTGCAACAGATCGTCGAAATGCGATAATATTAATTGAGGATACTACCAAAAAATCACACCGTTATACATATTAACAAAAACTTTTTTTTATTATTAATAGTTTTTATTGCATTGCTTTTTAATTATCAATAATTAATTTAGCAGACTATTATTTATGCTAGCGTTGTTTATAAAAAATTTTAATCGTTTGGTAGTTATTTACAGTCTTAATAAGTTGCTCTGCATTATTATTATAATAAAGGTAGAAACATGTATATTTATTACATTATTATTAATAAAAATAAACCCATCTCGATAATAACTACTTAGGAGTATAATAATTCAGCAAAAGGTTTTTTGAAAAAATAAGAAATTATGTATAATTCTTACACATGTCTATGTACTTATAAATTTGTATTTTCTATGTTTTCATTAGTTATTGTTTATATTATAATTTATATTTTTATACGCTTTTACTTTTGGATGCAAATTGAGCTAATTTTCCTCAATTAATTGCTATATTTTCATATTCTTCTTCAGGCAATGTATATGTCTCTCTGCTCTTTGTCCCGCTACTTAACTCTATTGCCTCTCTGGCGACCCAGTGACGGCCTTCACATATTCCGCATAGTGCAGGAAGCCATCCTTATTAGCATCCGCGATTTGCAGAAACTCATCAATAACCTCTGGAATTTGTAAAGTCTGCTGCTCTAATGTTAAGCTTTCAAAATTTAATGCACTCTCTGGTACTTACCTATGATATGATTTAATTCTTCGGTAGCATTGTGCAGGAAGCTATCTCTATCGACTTTTTTGAAATGTTCATCTTGATGTATGGCCGCTTGTAGCATCTCCAGTCCATCCAGGGCGTTATTATTGTCGCTGTCATGGATCTGTTGGATTAGACAATCGATTAATTTATGCTAGTGTCAATAATTTCTAAATTTTATTTTTTTACAGAATACATGTTGACTATAGGGTTACCTTTATATCAAAGCAACCATAAGCTTGAGAGCAAACAATTTAACCTTGCGTCAGTTGAGCCCATGTAACTGGCATTTTCCTAAACTTATAAATAGTTAAGGACTGTTAATATGGCAGAATTCCTAAAAATTCTTTGCAAAATAATGTTGTATGACTCTACAACAAAATCAAACAAGTAATTGTTTGCCCTGGATCTTTCTCTCATGTTCTTCTCTTGTCGAAAATAATAAGTGAAGAAGAAAGGCATTTGGAGAAAAACTTCTTTACAACAAGTCAAGTTCAAAACATAGTTTTGGAAATATCACATTAATTTTGTTCTTTGGTTCGGCAGTATTTCGAATCCTTTTACGCTGAGTAAATCCTTTTCTTCAAATCCATCAAAACCTTCTTATAGTTGTCACAAGTGAGGCGTCAAGTTTTCTAAGTATAGGAAACTACCGAGCAAGTACCGGCTATCCGAAACTTTTAGGTCCGTTTGGGTTAATTTTATCATTTGACACAGAAATCTCTGATAGCTGTTAAGGAATGTTAAAACTCTACGTGAATTTCACACATCAAACTTTGGATAAAACTATTTCTTGTGTTCCCTAGAAGGTTACTCAAGGTTCGGTTTCCCGAAGAATTTGCTTTCAAGTCGCTGACAGAACGAATTTTCATAATTTTGTCTTCGAGGGCGGGTACTGCGCTTTTCAAGATCAACAAAACAAACATTGTTCAAGTGCGTAAAAATTTTGGTATGAAACTTGAAATCTAAAAATCTTAAAAAGTATATTTTGCATTTACCCTAGGTAATTAAAAAACATAAAATTCTTGAAAAATGTGTAGTAGATATGGGATCGCCAATAAGAAAAATATGTACTTGAAGCTCTAATAAGAACTTATGTTTTTATTTTTGAAACGATGAGACTTTAGAACCTTTCCTTATGTACCTTATTGCTGATAGTAAATATCTTGTATAATCTTAGATTATACTAAAGTTAATTATCCAGAGTACATTTTTTCATCTACTGAAAATTAGTAAACATTTTCTTTAAAATTTTTGATTATCCCTGATGAATTAAGAAATGTTTATCTTGAACTCATAGCTTGAACTTGAACCCATACATATTTTTCAAAATTAAACACTTTATTGAACAAATATTTACAAAAGCACTAATCATGGGGAAATCAAAGTCAAATAAAAGATTTAAGTGTGTTCATGAAAATTATGAAATCAGGAAATAATATTATAGAACATACATATATCTAATCTCTAAATTTATAGATACTCACCTTAAAATAGTAGAAATTCTTCTCCTCATCGGACATGTTATCTAAATTGACATTTATGCCCATATCCTTGAGATCCTCATCGATGCGGCTGCAAGTGAAAAGGTGGGCAAGTAGTGATTTGAAATGAAACATATTTTAGAGAAGAACTCACTGCTCTTCGTGCGTTAAATGCTCATCCACTTTACGTGTTTTGGACTGTTCACTGCGCGGGTGATGCGGTCCGCGCTTAATAGCCACACAGGGGTCCATTGTTTGGCTGAATGTTGCAACACATATTATAAAATTAACAAAATTCAACATTTTACACATTTCTGCCCGAAATCTAAGAGTTGCTGTGTAATTTTCCTGAAAACTGTAGCAAAAAGTATAGCTAAACCTGAGCGAGTTATAATATGCACTAGAAATATATGTGAAAGAAAATATCGGCAGGTGTGTTCTTTATAATTGCTGAAATCAATAAAACATGCAAACTGCAAAGGACAGCCGTGCGCATGACACGCAAATGCGTTTGACAGTTCTAGCCTTAAGATACCACCCCAAAACCTGTGTGTTTTGACAGCCGACAGCAACTGTAGTCAGTCAGCTGTTGCACCGTTAGCAAGGTGGTGTTGCGTCATCCCGCTGCAGAACGTTAGGCTTACTTTTATCCTTTTTTAATGTGTTGATTTAGTGTTTGTTAGCTTTCAACTTTCCAAACTTTTCGAACTCTTTCTATTTTGTTGCTGCAGCAACAAATGGCTGTTTTGTCAATCGCATTTCATTCGAACACTTTCAAACAAGCTCTCAAGCGAGTACAAATTCCGAATCAAGGCCAAAATATTTCACAATTTTTACGCTAAGCAAATCATATTTGAAAGTAACTTTGCATTGTTTTTTAAAAAATTATTTCATTCAATTACAAGTGATTCGCATATCCAAAGATTTAATACTAAAATGTGCGAACATTATTGTGACGATTTGGAAACCTTCAACCCCGAAATTGAATACCAGAAGTTTTTGAAACGCAAACCCATCGTACAAACCGCCAAGTTGTATGAGCAATTGCACACGCGAGAGAAAATCAAATGCCCCTGTAAGTATTGAGCGCAAAAGAGTTGAGATCTATTAGGTCTTAGCTACAATGAGTTTTCTTCCTTTCAGACAATTTCAAAGGCTATGGCGTGGAAACGGACAAGAACACAATGTATCGCACTTGCAATTCCGAGTATGGCTACTACGCACCCAACGCTTACACCATACCGACGCGTTACTTTCCGCTCTCACAGAAATTCTCCAATGAACTTGCTCGCTGCGGCATGTATCGTAATTTCTCTCTGAATACTTTAATGGATCGTGCGTATTTCTGAGTGGATTTATGGTTGGCGGTGTATTATCGCGGTATTTAAATTGGGAATATGTAAATTATGACTTTACAAACCCAGTTTAATCATCTAAGTATTTGTTTGTACACTTAATGCTGGATAATTAAATTGAAAAACCAATAAATCGAAAAACACGAAGTTCTAGAATATTATACCCTCAAATTGTTTTTTTTTTTTGGATGTGAACTGTCGGAGCTTCTGGCTACTACATTCGCTCAAAGCCAGCTGATTCTGAGCGTTGATCGCCAGCTATTCGGTTCCCAGCCATTCGACAACGACCGTTTTCACGTTGTCAAAAGTGATCCACTTTTCATCATCAATAACAAATCGCACCATAACGCCTATTCATATTTTTAGCTGCTTTTCTCCTTTATCGATGTAAAACTGTTAAATATGGCGTATTTCCTCTTTCCTTAGGTCCATCTTTGAAGCGTGCTCAAAGAATACTGAATACCAAAGAAATCTTATCTGTAAATAGATTACTGAAGCCATCTTTTAGAAAAAAAACCTTTTTTTAATAGACCTTTTATATTATCGTGTAATCGCATGCGCAACAAATAACAAAGGTGAAATTTTGTAGTAAATAATTAGTAGGGACATTTCTTACTGTTATAATGGATGCTTCAATTTGATTTGTCATTTCTTTATAAACAGAATTACTCCGGAACAACTGCACATCGTGACAATTTATTCCTAAAATAATGGTTTGGTTCGCGCATCGCATCGCGCGCTATGTCCAATATTCGGTCGACATAATCGCTCAGCATAGTCAGTAACTCGAGCAACCATGCATCAGTTTTGCTCCACGTTTACTCTAGTGGATATTGCGCATCCTCAGAGATGCCATACAGAGCGCACTGAAGACGTTATTGCTGCTGTGTAAAGAGTATCTAAGAAGACAAAAATAAGTCCATCCGCCATCGCGCGCAACAATTTGAACTGTGCTCATCCACTTTATGGAAGATTTTCGGTGACTGTTGGCAAGCCATTGTAGAGACGCTGTTACATCGTCAAAAAGTCACAGTCTGGTGTGCTCTATAGGAAGAGGGAATCATTGGCTCATATTTCTTAAAAAATGAATGGTTCCAACAAGACGGCACTACATGCCATACAGTCAACAAAACAATCAACTTATTGAAGAAAACTTTTGGTGAACTGGGGTTATGTGAAGTCGGTTGTCTACACAGAGATGCTCGAAATGATTGACGCCTTCGAAGAGAATATTCGCTGCGTTATTTCTGACATACGGTGAGTAGTCGAAAATTGGGTCGCGGCGGTCACTTGCCCGAAATCTTTTTAACACATAATGGCAAACCCTTATTTTAATATTAAAGTTAAATTCTTAGCAAGTACTTTTTTTATTAAAATATATTTTGAATTTTCAATCCTATTTTTCAAAAATACATTCTACCCTAATAATTCCGCTAATGAGCTTTAAATAGGTATTAATCCATAATTGTCTCACTGCGATATTTTTAAATGATTTGATTAAATGATGTCGTCCGCTCGGCCGTGTCCATCTTTCTGTGTTTCTGTCCGTCCATCTGTATGTATATACGCGAACGAGTCCCTCAGGTTTTAAGATACCGAGCAGAAATTTTGTATACGTCCCTTTCTTACCAAGAAACTGCTCATTCGTCGGAACCTCTATACGATACAGCTGCCATACAAACTGATCGATCAAAATCAAGTCCTTCTATGAAACACTTTTTATCTGAAAAGATATCGTTATAAACTTCGAGATGGATTATTTTTCAAGCCAATATTATAATCTCCTTACATATTTTTCAGATCGAACAACTATAACATATAGCTGCCATACAAATTTACCGATAAAAAGCGAGCTCTTGTATGAATAACTTTTTTATTATACAAGATATCTTGGGAAAATTTTACACAAACAGTTTTCGAAAGCAACGATACAATCTCCAAAAAACTTATTCAGTTCGATCCACCAAAATAAAGATTTTCATAAAAGACCTATTTTCCGTATTAAGCAACCTTCATTCGAATTGAAGGTTGTTTAGATCAAACAACGTGGCTTGGAAGAACTAGCCAAATCTGTTCCGTTGAATGTAAACATTGACCGATAAAGCTTTCAGATTTTATTTTACACAGGTATAATTGCTATAAGAAATGGACCTATGAAGGGTATTCTAGCTTTATTCTTGCTTTATTATACTATAAAAGTATTTTATGTGAAATTTCATTAACGTTAATGTGAATACCGCTATTCAAGTCAATAAAAACTTGTTTTGAACTTTTGTTGACATCACGTTTTTTTCGAAACAAAATTTCAAAGTCACTGCATAAAATAAAATTAAATTAAAAGAAAGAAAAAAGCAATTTAAAATACAAACTTGATAAAAATTCAAATTTCTTAGAAATTAGCGCAGCTTAGAGCGTGTAAAGAAATTACCACGCAAGTACAACATTGAAAAAGAAGCGCATACAATAACAACAATAACATGAGGTAAGTATTTATGTTTACTAAAGTTACAACAACGCTGATAAGCGGAAATCAACGACGAACTTCCAACGATTTCTCACGCCTTCTACGCTTCTGTTTTTGTGCTGCCTAGCGAGGTGAAACAATTGTTGAGCTCACTTTTGTGGGACATTTACGGCAAACAACGGAGAGAACAACACTCACGACGCTTCAGCAAGTATAGCAGTAAATTTAGCAAAGACGATCCAGATATGTTCGACTTCAGTTCGTTAAAATTTGCCAGCTGCGCCAAAGATTTGGAGCATTTTAGTGTCCGTAAGCTCATTGATATTTCCGCCATTTTAAAAGTCGAAATACGTTTAATGGGTCATTTCTTGGAACGTGTACTAACCTCACGTGAACGCAATCGAAGGCATCAGGACACTTTGTGCGGCTTCGTAGACGCATTGCTCTATGTACGATATCGTGAGTATATTTTCCATAAAGTACAGTTACCATATTTAGTCGAATTAAGAGTTGAAATTAAGAAGGAAAATATTTATAAATGTAAAATATTTAGACTTAAGCCACTCCCATAAAATCGCTTATAAATTTTGGGACCCAATCGAAATAGCCTTATTTCATGGACTATTGAATCCATTAAGAAATAATTACTGGTAGTGGAGTGGGTTGAGTATGTGATTACTCTCCAGACTGTATTCAAATACCGAACAAATCAAAATCTAAAATTATTCAAGCTTAACCTTCTTCTGTCATCGGAAACTTAAATGAGAAATGCTAGAGGCATATAGAGCCTTGTACTCATATTAACATAAGACGTATACTATAAGCAGAAGTAGAAGCTTAGTCAATAATTCGTTTTTCATACATTCTTGGTTAAGTCTCAGACATCCCATGCAGACTTCCGTACTCATTCATTGTATTCATGCTGTTCGGCAGTCAAACATTAAGTAATTTCACCCTTACTGGGCTCCATGTATTACAATAATACTTAATCCAGCCATTAGCTCCGTTGCAAGTCAGGCCGTTATAAAAATTTAAATATAATATATTTTCAATAAAGTAAATTTTATTTAACTATGCATATATTAAATTAGCGGTATACAGATTTTTATTCGAAATGGTCAGCTTTTGCTTTCACACAAGCCCTCAAACGATTTAGCGATGATCAACAGCAGCGCGAACAGTTTCTATTGGAATTGACGCCGTTGCTCAAACCAAATATTATTTTGAGACTCTCTAAATTTCTATGGGGTATTCCACAGGTCATGTTCTCCAACTTTGACGACAAACTGTAGTCGATCAGATTCAGATCTGAACTTGCAGACGGCCAATAGTCTGCAGCTATGATATCAGGAATATTGCTTTTAAGCCACATCTGTGTGGTTTTTGCCTGGTGTGGGGAAGCTGAATATTGTTGGAAGATTCAATGCTTCCATCGAAAAGAGTATTGCTTAACTGCTTTATCACACATTCTTAAATATCCTAATGGTACACTTTGGCCCCACTATTAACCCCTTTTTCATAGAAGTGCACAGGTAAAACGCGGAAGGCTCCCCAGCAAACTACTACAGCAGCTGGATGGTAACCACTTGAACCCTTGAAATAACATTTTTTTGCGTCTTTACAAGCTTTTTCGTAGTTTTTGTCACTTCGCTTATTAAAAACATCTTCAACAGTGAAAGTTTTTAAATCTTTAAAATAGAGGCTGTTGAGCCTAATTTGCTTCAAGCGCGTTGTCAGAAAATGACCAGTTAACCGACGGTAGACTTTAATGTGGAGACCATCTCGAATAAGTCTTGACATTGATCTAATTGATATATCCATTTCTTTTGATATAATTTTCTGCTTTCTAAAGGGATTTTTTATGGCAGGACTAAGTACAATGCTCTGCGTTTATATCCAAGTCACCGTCATTAGGAAACGAATGTAGTTTACTAAGATATATAATTTTCCCCTTTTTATACCCTGAACAGGGTATATTAAGTTTGTAACACCCAGCAGGAAACGTCGGAGACCCTATAAAATATATACATAAATGATCAGCATGATGAGCTGAGTTGATTTAGCCATGTCCGTCTGTCTGTCTGTCCGTCTGTCCGTCTGTCTGTATATATACAAACTAGTCCCTCAGTTTTTATGCTATCGATCTGAAATTTTGCACCTGTCCTTTTCTAACAAAGAAGCTGCTCATTTGTCTGAACGGCCGATATCGGACCACTATAGCATATAGCTGCCATACAAACTGAACAATAGGAATATTATGTACCTAAATATGTTATGTTTCACCTAAAAGTGCTCGGTGACACGCTCATCAGCCCATTTTGACCGCGGCTCCTATAAAACCCCCTCGGACCTAACCGGGTGTAAAATTTAATGTCTCTGATGCATTTAATTATTGATTTATCGCAATTTTAGTAGTATTTAACAAAACCGTTATATGGAAAGTGGACCCCGCACACTATCATCCGATTTCATCCATTTTCACACTGTTGTAGGAAAAAATAAATGCATTTATTCTGTGAAAATTTGGCTCATATAGCTCGAATGGTTTAGGAGATACTTTTTAAAAGGTATACTTTAAAAGGTTTCTACCGTAGATACCCCTTCCCAATGCAATTCCTTGTACCAGGTTTATATCATATTTTAGTGCTTAGTTGTGGCATTTTATAAGTTTCCGATTAATGGCGTTTGGTAGTCGTGGCAGTGGTCCGACGTGCAAAATGTTCCAAGAGTATAAAAATTGTTATTGGTTACATATTCTGTTGCTGCAAACCTTTGGTGCACGTCGAGGAGGATCATCCTTTATAGTAAATTAGATGTTATCTGAAGCTGGCTCTCAATAGATTTGTGGATGAGTCTAATGTTGTGTACTGTCAATCTATGCTCTATTTTCGGGCTTGCTAACCACTGGAGTATTTTTTCAGCCAATGGTCAAAATTATAAGTGTAGTAGACCTACTTCTTTGAAACGCAGTCAATTTCATAGAAGTTTTAATCCAATCCGATACAAAGTTGGCAATACTTGACTTAAACTCTTTAACCATGCATTCCAGATCAACGGCATCGAGATCCATCATTATAATACTTGTAGGGGTACCTGACCACAGCCGATTCGTAGGGTTCGATGGAAAATTTCATAAGCTTTCAGAGAAAGACCAATGTCAGTATAGTACGAACAGGTCGACCTCTAATTTCTTTTGAGCCTCACGTAAGCTTCGCAAGCGTTGGGCAATCAATAGGAGATAAATAGTTTCGGTATTTTTTCCGATACTATACTGTCAAAATGTGTGAAATGTGATAACAACCACACCCATTCCCCATATAACGATTATGTTGAAAATTACTCAAATCTGTCAGAAACACTAAATTTTGCACATAAGATGGTATGAAGAGACTTCATACTAGCCGGTATTCAAATTAGACAATGGACGTGGCACCGCCCAACTTTAGGTGAAATCTCATATCTCAAGACCTTCAACCAAATTCGGTACTTCACAATATTCTGACATTCCTGTGTTACGGTGCAAGAAATCGGACCATAACTACGCCTACTTTCCATTTAACAGAATTTTAATTACCAATATGTATGTTGTAGTGCCTTTATGATATGCTCTCCCAAGTAAAATTTATCATAATCGGATCATATTTACCTTTGAATTATTTCGCAACGTCTCTTAATATAAAGTTTTGCCTACACCTGAAAGTATTTCCCCGGCTTTGATCCTTGCGAGAGTATAAAATGTTCGGTTACACCCGAACTTAGTTCTACCTTACTTGTGATTTAAATTTAAGCCTTGAAAGAGTCGACTGTTTACTCAGAAAGTTGTATTCCGTATATGCTAACCACGAAATAATCCATCAGGCCACTATTATAACATTTCGCAACTACTATAAAGATGAGTCCCCAATATAGATTCAGTTTCGTGTAACAGCACCAACTTTCGAATATTCTTCAGCTTTCTTCCATTCGATGAAATTTTATTTCAAAAGCCCGAATATGCAATACCAAAACATCCAACTTTGTTAACCACTGTGCCAACTGTCAGTATCAGATTTCTTGTGACCACAGCGCAAACGCGAAAACTGTCAAATATTGGATTCAATGTCAAAGTATTCACTAATGGCATTTACACTTCACACAATACCATTCAGTCACTTCGGACGTCTGCTGCTAGTAACATCACTTGGATCCGGAACAAAATACAGTGATTGCAGTTAAGTGTGCGAGGAGCAAAAAACAAACTGGTGAAGCATTGACCGCAAATGCGCCTCCACCAGCAACACACCTAACAGTCAATAATTGCCAAAACAACAACAAATTGTGAAAGGTTTGCAAACGACGTAGAAAAAATTAAACGAAATAAACAAAAGAATGAAACTTCAAAAGTTTACAAAACAAAAAAGTGCTTGAAAATAGTGGTGGAAAACAAAAGAAAATTTGTGTGATATCTGTGTAGAAGCAGCGACCACAGCCAGCAACGTAACAGCATTCCAACACATAATCATATCACGCGCACCCACACATACATACATGCTTAACAACGCGAGCGAGCGCTTCGCCTCACTACTCCCCTCACGAGTTGCATGCGAAAGGTGCAGCGGCGCTGAGTGGGCGCACAGGCGATAACTACACCCTTTCGCACGGCAAGTGGGCACAGTTAGAAAGCAGTGTGTGTGCGATAACGCAAGCATATTACCCACCATCGTTAGCCTTGATATTCTTGATGGTTGGGTGGTTGCTTGGATGGATAGTTCATTACTCGTTTTATTTTCAGCTGTGAGGGACGTAGCGCCACAACGGTATTTGTTCGTATGTATATCGCCATGTGTTTATCTGTGTTTGCTGGTGTGCTAAAAACGTGCTGTCAGCTGAGGTCGCCGCAGTGCAACGCATTTGCTCCGTGGCCATTGCAGCGTTTTGCTGCTTTCAAGCAATTTTCCGTTTGGTTTGCGAACGGCTTTCGCAAGCTAATTTTAATCACAAGAAGTAGAATTCTATACTGAGTTATTAAAAGACTGTGTCGAAAGTGTATGTATGTGCGTGTGCAAAACAAGGAAAAAATAAAATAAACAAAACAAAACAAATCTGTTGCAATAGTAGCGCGAATCAGTGTGTTAAATAACCGTCAATCGATTGCAGTGCTCAAGCAAAAACAGAAACGAAAATAGAAGCAAGAGAATCAGAAATTTCCTTCACAACGCACATCCGTGTTACTCATCCGCCATGCCTTATTTTGAGCCAAAGTTCAACTTGCCCACCAGCGTGTAACTAGCTCAGCATCGTTGATTCTCGTTATCTATTTGTTATCTTTTCGTTTTATAGGAATTTGTAAATCCGTTACGTGGCAAATTCTCTGCTACTGCTCGCTGCATTAGTGTGGGGGAGTGTGTGTGTGTACGTGTTTGAATATTTCGGCGAAGGAATATTTTACTTAACGAAAACGTGTTGTGGCAAAACAATAC